CATCCGATTAAGTCAGACTACACTGAAATCACTGCCAGGGGTGTTACCAAGAAGGCTGTTGAGTTGGAAAACTTAAATATAGGGACTTTGGTATCAATAAACATTGTGTATGTCTCTGAATTTATCAATTTTTGATCTAGATTACTGTAAAAATATACAGAACCATGGAAACAACACAAGGTAGCATGTGTTATAACCTGCTGTGCTATAACAAGCTTTAGAAATGCAGTATGGTCACGGAGAACTCTGGCTGGATAATGTGGATTAAATAGAAACCCAAAAATACAACCAGACACCTATCACGTACATGTTTGATTACAGTTTGAAACTAGCATACCAGTACTAAACTCAAGGTGAAGACAGCACCATTAAGGCATAGCTTGAGATCTTGGAACTACAGTTTATGGTGTAAGCACCAATATCATCCGAAAGTTTCTCACAGAGTCATGCAGCACCAACGTGAAATCTGTTTTTGATATTTGATTGAATCTTGTCCAAATAAACTGAAAAGAGGAAAGAGAGGACTTTAAAATAAGGTTAGCAGTGGTAAAGTCAGTAGTGCAAGTCTGAAAAAAGACCACAGAGGAAATTCCACCAAGCCCACACTGAAAATGCAGAAGTTGCAGCTAAGGTAAGAATGAGGGAGGGAGAGAAGCAGAAAGAGAAGAATGAACTTTAATCATCAACTACTAAAGACACCAAAAAATAAATATATATCTACCATTTACCACTTAAAAATTTACCTAACCTGTCTTTTTAGAGTACTGTCAGTGTGGTTCAGTCAAATTTGATTTGGTAGTGATCTGGTGACATCAGCAAACGACCATCTGATCCTGATTGGATAAAGGCAGTATGTGACATCACGTTTTCCACTTCGACACAAAAGCATCTTTAAAAAAATCTCTCAAGGAAAATGTCCAAAACTGTAGAAAATAATGTTCCAAGGATTTAGCTATTGTCACCATGTATTCGACATACACAAGAATTAAAAGCTGTTTTACAGTGATCACCTCTAGAAAAATTATCGATTAAATATAGCAATTAGTGTTAGAAATTACAGAGATTCTGTGTATATCTAATACCTTGTTCTGGAGTTTAAAGGTGAACAGATAAGAACTCAGGTATCCACAACTGCAGGCTCTGCTTGGGCACATCCAGACTTCAATCCCTATTTTTTTTTAAAAAGTTAAAAGAGATTTGTTAGATTCAGCCTAAAATTCAAGTAAAAAATCAAGTAAAAGAGAGTGCTTTTTAACTCTTTCACACTACAATCACCCAGTTTCCAAAGTCTTAAGGTTTACAAATATCCAAAGTAAGGCTTTCACAGTGTGCTAAAATATAATGAGCACCTACACAAATCCTATCGACAAAAAGTTATGGTCAGCTTGCATAAAATGTGCTAAAACTAGTCACAGACATATCAGCATTGCAGTTTTTATTATTATTACGGCCAAACCTAATATCAATATTTAATGAGTTGATTTTTTTCATATAACAATCTTGATACAGATCACATGAACTATATTTTTTATTTTCATTTCATTTTTACACATTTTATAGTGTAAAGAATCAACTATGATTGCTCTCTGGTGGACAAACTATGCAATGGGGGCACTGTTTTCCAAAGCACCCCAGACCTACTTTCATTTTCCTGTCTGCCGTCAATTGCCACTTAACAGCCAACAAATACACAAATAATATATCTGCAATAAGCTCAGGCATGTTCTAATGAGTCTAGTCTGGCTTCTCTGAGTGTAGCTTTAGTGCAGCGTTAGTGCAGTTAACCTTTAAATGTGTATCATCTATGCTTTACAGTCAGCAATATGGCACATATTAGGAACATTATGACTTCAACATGAAACCTTTTTTTAACACTAATGAAATATTATTGCCGTGGCCTACATCATTTCTGTGGGACCGACTTTAGTTCACGGATATACGGTCTTATAATGAGTGTTTCTCCACCTTCTGCTGACTTGCATTAAGCTCATCATCATAAAAGCTGCTCTAAGGAGATGTGATCAGTCTGCAAGGTCAATAACTACTTTAGCTTCCCTTTTAAACTGCATGAAATGAATAATATAGAGTGTCTATACATACAATGCAGCCCCCCTTCTTCTAATGTGGCCAATTATGGGATAGATTATGGATATGAATCGTGTTCTGGCTTAATACATGTGCATACATTAGTTCAAGTACAGGTCAGTGTGCTTTAGAAACAGATAACAGATGGACTGGGAGGTTAGGAGAGGTTGCACGCAAACCCCGTCCCCAGCAGATATTATTGATAGACTGCTGTGCTTCTTGTGCTCCAGCTGTGACAATTGGGTAAGCTGGAGGATGCAGGTGGTGCAGACAGATTATGCTGGATAGTAAACAGATACTACAGAGTGGTTCCAGCGTGGATTAATTTAGTGTCTGCCGTTATTAATACGCTGTTTGGAGTCAGGGTTATATAAGCGTGGGCATTTACCGTATACTTATTATGTGTTAGTACACACAGCAAGGTATGCCTTGTAAATTCACACAAGTAGTTTTTATTATCAGGAAGTTATTGTTATTTAATCTGGAGTAGTATTGCCAGTAAAGGGCATTAAAGGGTCAGTTCAACCGAAATTAGAAAACAACTTTTTTTTTTTCCATTTACTTAATGGTATCCAACGACCCAATGAGATTCCTGTTGCCACACAATGGAGATGATAAAACTTAATCCGAGCATTTAAAAAAAAAAAAAAAAAAAATCTTTTTATAACTTGTATCACAGCTACCCTGGATAAGAAAGTGCAACTCCATCTATGTAACCATTACCAAACTGCAGAAACTAAGATGTTCATAGACAAAACAGCACTTCGGTCAGAATGGACTTAATAATGTTCTGAAGTCTTGCAGTTGCATTACTATACTAACGCGTAATTTGTTGCCACAAAAATGCATGTAAAAGTGCAAACTTTTCTGACAGAGCAACAAGTTTAACTAATAGAATTAATTTCAACAGCATTCCTTTGAGATGTTACACAGCCCAAGTTCATTTGCACACTGACTCACTGATAGATTTTTCTGCATTATTACAATTAGGGCTGCAATGAGCTATTACTTTAATTGTTGATGAATCTCTCAATTAATTGCTTGGTGTACAAAGTGTCAGAAAAATAGCCAACAAAGACCTTTTAATTGGGTGTCTTAGGTGCCATTTTTGAAAAAGTTCATCACTTAACCTTGATCCTAGTTCAGTGACAATGTGTTGCAGGGTACAGGCTGCTCTCGCATCTTGTTAGAAGACAACAAACCCTGAGATTTTTGTATTAAACATCAATTACGTTGGTAAAACCTTTCTATTTCCAATTTTGTGAAATGAGTCACCTAGGTATATTAGATTTTTAATATTGCAGGTTTACCAATTTAAAAAAAAAAAAAAATCCTTTCTGCAGGCATCAGTGGCTCCAGAGTTACACATTTCTGATCTGCAGGTACACAAACCTCCCAAGTGTTAATTGGTCTTGTGTGCATTTCATTTCTATTTGCTTTTCTTTTCTCTCTCCTATAAACCTAACCAGTCATGGCAGATGTCCACCCTCCCTGAGCCTGGCTCTGCTGGAAGTATATACCTGAAAAAGGGGAGTTATTTTCTTCCAACTGTTACCAAAAGGAACGCTTTGGATTTCTTGGGCTGTCTTGAGATGGCTTATGTTGTGAATAGGCACTAGAGAAATAAAACTGAATGGAATTAAAATGCCTTCTTTTGTCCACAACACAAAGATACCTAGTTTACTGTCACAGAGGGATAAAGAAACCCAAAAATATTCATATTTAAAAAGCTGGAATATGGGGATTTTTACATTTGTCTTGGGGAAAAGCAATCAAAGCAGTTGGCCATCATTGTAAGTGTTGAGAACCACTAGGTAGCAAGAGAAAAAAATATATTTTGTATCCCAAAAAGTAGAAGGTTGACTAGCAGGTATACAGACCAACAGCAGGAGAGCGCTATATAACATAACTGCTAAATACTGAAGGTGATGAGTAGCTACAGGTGCTGGGATCTTGTTAAAACACTTTCCTGTATTTCATGTTATGCTGCTGAGAGAATGCATTTGTCATACTGGTTGTCTTGCTGGTCAACCAGACACCAAGGGACTGGTTTACACTTTAAATGGCTGAGATATATCACTAACGGATGGAGGAGAGAATTAAAGTCACTGTTCTCAATTAAATAAGCCTTTGAATTTTTTATGAACTGTGCAACCACTTTTAGAAGATGTCGGTGATGTTAGCATTAGCCTACCTGACAGTTAGCAACTTCGGGAAAGTCACGTGCCAAGCAGAAAACTAGCTTGGCGCATTTGGCTTTTTCTGCAAAAAATAAATAAAATTCAGGCAACTGTTGGCGCATATTTAGAAAGGCCGGGCTTGAAACATTATCTGCGTTACAGCCTCATGTCTGTAGAGTTTGACGGCAAAACAACTCGTTTATCCAAAGTTAACAATCACAACCAAACACACGCACCTGTCATCTGTGAAGGCGGAAGGACGCCGGCTCTGTATGTTTGTGTTCTTCCGCAAGATAATACAAGAATGAAAACGGCTGAACTCTGGCTGGTATTTTTCTCTTTTAGGGACTACATGGCCCTTTAATTGATATTCAAGAGCACAGAGTAAAAAAAAAAAAAGAAAAGAAAAAAGTAACTAAAACAAATTTCCCTTGAAGGTGGGTGTGGGGGAAAAAAAGACATAAATAAATTACTGGATTCTTTTGTGACTAATTTCATGAATTCATAATTAAAGAACACAAATAGCTTTTGCCTTGTAGCACTAAATTATACCGCTTATCATTGACTTCAATGAAGTTTTCATTACATGTTCTGTGGCGCCATCTGGCGACCAAAGGTAACAACTGTTTCTCAAGGTGAGTGAGTTGAGGAGTAGAAAGTAGGGTCAATTTTAAAACTCTAGAAAAAACACATTGTCCAGTCAGTTTTCAACAAAATATTTTTGGTGCAAAGAAAAAAGTGCCAGAACTTTTTAATTTATATTTTTTATGCTTGTGAAAAACAAACAAAGCAAGAATTTCTACTGTTCACAGATGGCACAGTTTTACTGCTAATCCAATGTTAATTAAATGTGGCGCTCCGTATCAGACGCTGCTACTAGTTCAGAAGGTTAAAACAGTTGCCATATATATTGCAGAAAATGTGGAAAAAATCTTACAGGAAATTTATTTGTGGAATGTGACAACAAAAAAAGTACCAAACTTTTTTGCACATGTGCACAAATGCAGCTGCCGTCACATGTGAAAAGTTAACCCGTGATTATGACATCATCATGTTTACAGGGTGGACAACTGTGGCATCGCATTTATTTCCCAGTGATCCAATGTTTACTGTGAACAAGTTAAATGCAGCATCAAAAACAATATTAGCCCAAAACGGACTGGAATTAAATTTGTTTTCCTGGTGGGGAAAAAAAAAAGCCTATTCACATCCTTCCAGGAAGCACTGAAATGCATTTGATTACTGATGATTTCAGCATCACAGCTCTTGCTACATAGACGCCTCTGAGAGCACCAGGATGTGGAGCCGTCCATCCCCAGTCACCCTGTGTAGTGGTACATCGGGATCTTTATTTCCCATGTGCCTAAACATTTCTCAGCAGCCAGTGTGGAGGTGTGACGCCAGACTGGGAGAAGTAGTTCCACCACCACGGTTTCTCCTGTCGCTCTATCCCCCCCTCGGCCACATCTGGCTCGCTGTAGCGTTCAAACTGGTTGTAGGGGTCGAATCGATCCCATGTGTCAACTGTGGGGAAGAGGTGGTCGTCGATGTCGGGCTCCACGGGAACCTGGATGCAGGTGAAAATGGAGAGCAGAAGTGGTGAATGTGTAGGAAGGGAGATTAAAAACATGCACTGTGCAGTAGGATTACAAAGATCCAAACCTTTTCCAGGACAAAGTCGACACGTCCGGGTTTGTTCATGTTGTGAGGCAGATGGACCCTCTTGCTGACCCTGGAGTAACCCTTGGCTGTGGCTGTCAGGATGTGAGTGCCGGGGTTCAGCAGCCGCCAGTAGTCTCCATCTTCAGCTGAAAGGGAAGAAAAATGGGTCAAAGCAGAACACAAGGGAAAGACAGTAAAGGAGAAAAAAAAAAAAACTAAAAGGAAGAAATAAATAAACAATATCTATACTTCACAAGGTATTGTTGCAAGCTATGCTTAAAAGCTCCACTACGAATGTCTAAAAGTTACATGTAGATTAAAAAAAATCCAACTATTCTGACAACACTAGCACTTAACATTATTTCTATTGTTATACTCTATTTGGACTCTTTAATACTCTTTTTTTTATTGTGAATATCATCTCAATTTTCCACCTAATTTTTTGTACCAGCCCAATTTGCACATTACTTAAATCAACTATCTATCTATCTATCTATCTATCTATCTATCTATCTATCTATCTATCTATCTATCTATCTATCTATCTATCTATCTATCTATCTATTTCCTTATTTGGTGTTTCAATGATTGTGTTACAGATATATCATGTCAGTCCAAAATCTTTCATAGGTTTCCACTGAGGTTGAGATCTTGTGACTGTAAAAGCCATAGAATATTCATCAATCCATTTACATCAATCCATTTAGAGACGCTTTGTGCTCTATGGATGATGGCATTCAATAATGCCCCTAAAAGCATAACGCAGCCACCATTCCCCCTCCTTATAGGTGTCAAGGCTTCAGTTTTTCCTTTAATTCATCACCCATCTGTAGATTTACCTGTAGTGACATCTTTGCGTATCCCCTTGACAGTAATAGTTGCACCTTTAATCCCGTTTCCATCTTTATCCTTAACTAGTCCCTTTATCCCTCGGTGGACCTGTTCAGAGAAATGGACATCATTTTAACATTTTCTGTCCTTTCTAGGTTTTTTTGTTTTTTTTAAACCTTCTTACAACAATTCATCAAAATGTATAATTTCTTCATTCAAACCCGGACTGGTCATTCTTCACTTACAGACTCCAGAAAAGAGAGCAGTGCTTCTTTATTCCTCTTCCATTCTGGGTAAAGCTCGGCCTCTGAGGGAAACTTGTCACAGCCAAGCTCCACTGTGATCTCCAGACAGTTGGTGTGCAAGTAATTGAAATCTGACATTCCTGCAAAGAAGAGATATAAACAAAGGGGATTGTGAGGAGCAGGGGAAAAAAATGTGTATAAATGGTTTTCTTCGTGGTTTTTAAAGCATCTCACCGCCAGCAAAACTGTACCACAGAGCCCCGTTGATGATGCCCCTGGTTCGATAGAAGGAGGCTCCACACCGCTCAGTGTCATTGTTGGACATGGTGGCGTGAGCATCAGCATAGGTACGAGCCAGCTGCTTGAAGACCTGAGTAGTGGAAGATTAGTGGTCAAGGTAGATAATATGAGCACACAGAGTACATGTTCAGACATAAATCCTGCCTCCCTACCTGCTCGTCTGGAGTGGGTGAGAACATCCTCTCCTCATGTGGATGTCTTGAGAAGTCGAAGGGATAGGAGACCACCAGCTCCCCTCCATGGAGGCTGGCAGACTGAACGAAGGGCAGCGACCTGATCCACTTCATCACTGCGTAGGTCTCTGGTGCCACCTATAGGCCAAAAGATGAAATTGGCTTGTTTTGGAATCCAAGTTTTAATATCTACTGCAGATACATTTTAGTTATGTGCAAAAATATTCATTTTTTCTGGCTGAAAATGACATGAACCAATGAAATAGACTCCAAATTTCATCTATTTCTAATGTCTTTTGTTTTTTTTTTTATTCATATCCATTCAAATTGTTGCAAACTTTTGAGAAAATGCAAGCACCTACACCATTACGATTTATTCTGGTGATTCCTACCTTATTCTGGAGCATTATAATACACTACAGATTAAGAACAGCTGATGCAGCAGTTCTTTAATCAGTTACTAGTCAATTGCTGAAATCAAAGAATCCTAGTGAGCTTGGTATCAGGGTCCATCACTGTGAGAGAGCTGCACATTCTGGCTGCTCACAAGATGGAGAGAGACTATGAAACCACATCCAAGTGCCAGTGGCAACAGTTCAAGGCATAATCAAAGAGTTCATGGAGTTCCAAGCTCTGAAAAATTTCAAAGGGCTCAATAGGAAGCCAAATGTCACTCCTGCACTGGCAAGAATGGCAGCGTAAGAGGCCAAGAGGAATTCATGGATCAACACCAAGACCATCCTGATGAATCTGAGTAATTCTGGTACCAACATCTCAATCAGTCCGCCTGAACAAAGAAAAAAAGTTCTGGTCATTAATACTGTGTGCGATAAGACCAGAATCGAGTTGTTTGGAACATGGATGTGGTTTGGTTTGGTGAAAGACAGAAGAAGCATTCAACCCCAAAAGCAGTGGTGGGAATGTGATGCTTTGGGACTGTTTTTCAGCCATTGAACTAGACAACTTTGTCAAAATAAACAGCAACATGGGAGAAGAGGACTACTGTATGCTAAGATTCTGGAGAAGAGTCTGCAGAAAAACTTAGACTGGACCTTCGAACAAGACACTGATCTGAAACATTCTGCCACAGTGATCAAGAAGTGGTTAACGGAAAACAATATAAGCATGCTCAAGTGGCCCAGCCAGAATCCAGACCTGAATCTATTGAGAATCTGTGGAGGGAAATAAAGACCAGATTAGATGCAAGGAAGCCTTTAATCTCAAAGATCTGGAGATAATCACATAAAAGTGGAACAAAGTCCCAGTGGGGACATAAAGAGTATGGTGAGCAATTCTAAGTACAGTTGCAATGAAAGGCTTTACCATTGA